GTGTTAGGTTAAATTCTATGGTCATTATGGATAACCTGCATTATAGATATTATAAAAATGGTGCAAGGAATGATAAAACGTGAGTACGACTGAACAGATGTTATAAACACAGATTATATATTTAAATAAATAGTTTAAGGAATATAAATGATATAGTATTATTTGTTAATTATTTAATTATAATATTATTTATTAATTATTTTATTTTATTCGAAATGTACAACAATGCTTAAATAATAATAAAATTACATAAGTCAACTAATCATCTTACATCCACAGTTTTGTTGGCATACGACTAAATGCATCGTTCATTATCTGTTTGAATATGATCAATAGGTTTTCACCAATATGTTCCTTCAGACCATTCACCACTTTCAACGCGTTATTATTTAAAAACGTGTTGACAGTTTGCCTGTGAAACAGTTGAAAACATTTTAGAAAATACAAGATATTTTCACATTTTCACAATAGGTACCTACTATAAAATGTGGACATATCCCTTTTTATAGTAATATTGATTTGTATAATATGTTTTTATTCAAGTCAAGTAATTTTCAATGATTTTACTTACCTAATACCTACTTTGTTGCCGTTGAACGAATTATCAGAGTTGACACACAGTTAAATTCAACTTTCATACTGCTAGCCACCATTACAGTTTCATTAATATATTTGGGGTAGTAGATATTTCTCTGTACATGTGTGTAGCTTACATTATCTGAAAATTAAACAAATATAATATTTGCTAGATATGTTATGATTTAAGTTTTGTTTCATACTCAATCAGAAATAGTTTAATATCGCCTACACCAACCAGTGGTAACAATAATAAATTTCCTTTCAGATCGTATTTCAATTCTACTTTGATTGTTGGTATGAGTAGACCAATATCTAGACAAGTTTTAACCATCCTAAAAGAACATAATTATTTCATCATGCTAATTTTAAAATAAAATTGTTAAGCAAATTACTGTTGGAATATCATTTAACGCATTACATTTTGTTATTTCTATCTTCTGTAGATTACTTCAACCGCTGAGTATTAATTATTTTATTGCTATGTAGGTATTTAGTGTATGAAAATCAAAAAAATTTTACTGTACATTGTCCATCAACAGCTTGGGTCAGGACTACAGATCGCGGGCTGAGAATGAAAAGGTTCTATGTCAGATTATCAAATTGTTCAGCAGAGCGATTTTTAACTTTAATACCCAATATTTTTTTTTCTGTTCATTTTATGAATATCACTATAATTTTAATAAATAAATTAATACATTTACTGTCAGATACATTGTGAGTATTAAATATTGGACATCCATACATTTTATAAAAACCAAAAAACTGGGAAAAAAGTATATAAGAAGTAAAAAGTTCTCTGAATAGAACCTTTTCATTCTTCCAACTAAATGACATGTTATACATAGAACTTTATTCTTTTTCTGTAGTGCTATACAATATTTTTCTTCTTTTCAGTGTTACCGACACATGCAACATGAATAATTATAATAACATTTTTTTTACATTATTTTAATGTTTAATCAAAAACAATAATTATTAACAATTTGAGCAAATAAATAATTAAATTTCTTTAACGTTATGTGCTTTAATGTACCTAGTACCTACCTACCTAATTTAATTATTTTAATTATATTGCAGATGGATGCTAGTTTATAATTTTTATAAATGATACCCTACTACCCTCAGTCTCAGAACTCACTACTCAGTACTCAAAATTGTGTAGCCGTGTAGGTACATATTGTAATAAAATATACCACCTATAACTTAAATCTATTGGACTCAAACTGACACTAATAAGTAGGAAAAAACACATTAGGTATCACATCATCGTCTTAAAACAAAATAATAAATATAAATTGGAGGCAATTGAAATCGATAACAATATAGTAAATAGTTTTAAAATGCAAACTATAATAATATTATTAAGTCTATAAATACCGGCTGGCTACTATTACAAAAATATTGTACGATATTATTGTTAGTTTTTGTTTTATCGTATCAACGACATCGTGTATTATTGATATTTGATAGAACCTTTTAATACTAACCAACCTTGAATAACATGACGATAGAACCTTTTCATACTTATGTAAACTTATCAGAATAACAAAGTTCTATCGAGCTACAGCTATAATCACGATTCTGTAATTTTTCATGACATAGAACCTTTTCATTTTCTATATCTCACTAAGTACTAATTGTAAAAACATCATTTTTGAATCAAAAGATGCACAATTGAAAACTAAACAAATATATGCAAAAAAACGATTTTTGAAAAAAGTGGACATAGAACCTTTTCATTCTCAGCCCGCGAGATATAAAAAAATGGAATTGTGGTATAATGACTCGGCTTCAACACAACCATTTTCCTCCAAATTTTGACATTCAAATGATCCATTTAAAAAGATCTATTGGTCTGGCTGGAACAAGTACCGGCAATTTGGCTACTTCCATCAGACAAATTTATACCCGAGAAGTTTTGTTGTCAGTATTCTGGAATAACATTATATATTTTAAACAACTTAAGATAATTTTTTTAATTTTTAGCATAAATAAGATTAAAGTATTAATTGCACACCATTAACTGCCTTAGAAATCCAGAAGGTGCACAAAACTACACGCATTTACAGTCCCGGTTTTGTCTTAATAAAATGCGACGTCGTCGTCGTCCAAAAAATCCAACCTCTATTGATCAGTTAGCAGATATATTGAATGAACCTACAACATCTACATCATATATATCAACATTGCAGCGTCCTTCTTCAAGGTTCATGAAATAAATTTCAAATATTTTTTGTTTAATTTATCATTTCTTTATTATTTTACTTAGATTTTTTCAACATGATTGTCCATTGATGGTAGATAGAGAACGAGTTGGTGTAGTATTTGCTAATACAGATGCAATCGACAAATATAGGAGATAACTACTCCAATCAATTGAAGGGTGGGCGGGAATAACGTGCTATGTAACATTTTTTCAATTTTCATGTTTTTGCGGAATAACGTGCTATGAAGCAATCTCGATATATTTTAAGAATCGAAAAATTCCCAGAATGTTTTTATCGTACACAATCATCGTGTATATACTTCGAAACCGGCGATTAGTTGACTATTAAAACGTGCTATGTGCGTTAAGTGTTTACAGTATTCACAGTCATGGGCGGATAGGCCTACCGGGAAACCGGGAATTTCCCGGTGGGCCCCCCTTCGTATTTCGGTAATGGGGCCCTTTAATAAAATGCAATTACCTACGATAGAAATAATTTGAAATATCAAAAAAAATATTATAATCTTATATCAATTATATCTCATATACATTACTATCTGTGGTCTTTTTCAAAACATTTCTTATCGGCCCGCAGCCGCCGTGCTCTCACAACTACAACGTCGGTTAATGGTTGGCGGCGGGTAGTGGGTCACGGTTGAAACTGGTAACTGGTGAGGTGGGTAATCACTCACAAATCGGTTGTTGTAGATACTATTTTTAGAATAATCTAAACTAAACATTGGACTTTTTCAATGCTACGTGTATTTGTGTGCGGTAATATAAAGTAATATTTACTATTTTACCGATATCTAATCACAAACAAATTGTAGAATTATAATTATTATATACTTATTGCACTATTGCAGACATAACGTTTCTACTAACTCGCGGTTAATCGTTAGTAATTTTTCTTGATTTAAGTTATATAGTTGATCAGTATTCAGTGTTATATATTATATTCCTTAGTTCTTACACATTGCATAGTACATACAGACATACAGTTAAAACAGACGTTTACGTGCTGTTTTATTTTTTTCAATGGGCAATTCCAAAAAATTACATAAAAGCGGAAGTGCTAAACGAAAAAAAAAGGAGAAAGAGTTGCTTAGAAAGGAAAGTCAAAACCCTAATCAAAAAAAATTAAATTTTGTAAAATCAAGTAAGTACTCACATTGGTTATATTATAATATATTATATTGTATATTAACTAAAATTACACTATATTTTATATAGATATCTTAATATTATCATTATTACATTTGATAGGTAGCAATTAGCAGTATAAAATAAGTAGGGTTTGTCAAATAAATATAGGTAGTTAAAATATTTAAGACACAATTTGTGTTCTGAATGTGTCTATTATATTTATAATTTTTAACATTATTTGAAGTATAAAAACTTAACTTAAACACTTGTATAATTAGATGTACTTAATTGATAATTGATGTTGTTATAATATATTTATATTATAGATATATTATGCATTTTTTATATGCTAATATAACAGACAATTTTTCAAATCATACTAAGCTAGAAGGTAAATTGATGCATTAATTGTATTGTATTTAATTTTGGAATAATGTTAAGACTTCAGAATTAGTTTAATTAAAAAACAAAATTATAATAATATAAAACATTAGATATATTATGTTTTAACTGAATAATTTTATAAATATACTTTCCACTTTTCATCTTTAGGTGACAATAATTTGAAAAAATGTAGCAGTAGAGTAATTGAAAATGAAAGAGAAAATCTGAATAGTGATAATGGTAATTTCAAATTATTTTTCTATACTTATTTACCTAAACTATTTTAAAAATGAAAACTTCCCTTTCTAGATGTCAATTCTTCAAAACAAGATATTAAAGATATTGAAAATGTTGATACCATGGCAATAGTTGAAACCGAGGTTGAAACCTGTTCAAATATTGATAATGGTACCTATATAATTATAATATTATATACCTAATTTTTAATTATATAAATCTAATTTCCAATTATAATCTGTAGGTGACAGTAATTTGAAAAAATATAACAGTACTGCTATTGAAAATGAAAGAGAAAATCTGAATAGTGATAATGGTAATTTCTAGTTAACTTTTTTACCTAAACTATTTTAAAAACTAAAACTACATTCTAGATGTCAATGCTTCAAAACAAGACAATGAAAAAAATCAAGTTAATACAATTGAAAATGTTGAAAATGTTGATACCATGGAAATAGTTGAAACCGAGGTTGAAACCTGTTCTAATATTGATAATGGTACCTATATAATATTATATACCTAATTTTTAATTATATAAATCTAATTTCCAATTATCATCTGTAGGTGACAGTAATTTGAAAAAATATAACAGTACTGCTATTGAAAATGAAAGAGAAAATCTGAATAGTGATAATGGTAATTTCTAGTTAACTTTTTTACCTAAACTATTTTAAAAACTAAAACTACTTTCTAGATGTCAATGCTTCAAAACAAGACAATGAAAAAAATCAAGTTAATACAATTGAAAATGTTGATACCATGGAAATAGTTGAAACCTCTTCAAATATTGATAATGGTATCTATATAATATACACCTACATTTTTTTTAAATTTTTTTATTGTAAATTAAAATGTTTCAGCACACTGAGTGCTAATAATAATAGTTTATAATAAATGTTATACGTAAATTTGAATTCTATAATTTTAAACTAGTATAACTTTTTTTTTTACAGAGGCTACTGATATGTTTATAAAACCTAGAAGTATTAATTTTACAAGCTTTTGGTCATTCCATCCTCATCAACCGAAAACCAACATTCCATTCAGACCTTCAAAATTGTACAACCGTAAGGATGGAGGTCATCGTAAATGGATATCTTATTGTGTTAAGAAAAAAGCTTTATTTTGCAATATATGTCTTTGTTATGGTGATGGTTCTGGATCATTTTCCAAAGGATTTTCTGTCTGGAAACATGTATATGAGCGAGTCAGTGATCACGAAGAAACAATAACACACAAATTAAATGTTGATGCTCATTTGATGAAAAAGCAATTTTCCTCAGTGGATTCACTTTTAACACACGGACTTGGTTCAATAAGAAAAATACAAGTTGAAAACAATCGAAATGTATTACTTCGTCTTATTGATGTGTTAAAGTTAATTGGAAAGCGCGGACTAAGTTATAGAGGTAAAACAAATGAGGCTGCTTATTCACTCGACGATTCTTCCTTAGACCATGGCAATTTTTTGGAAATAACTTTACTTATTAGTAAATATGATTCCTTGCTTAAATCACATTTAGATAAAGTTGTAAAAAAAAGTTTAAAATGTCATAATTCTGGAGCCCAACAAGGAGGAGGTCAAGTTACTTTTTTATCAAAAACTACAATTAATTATATTCTTGAAATTATTGCTAAAAATATCAAATTTACAATTTCTAATGAAGTGAAAGATGCTGTAATATATTCTGTACAACTCGATACAACACAAGATGTACAGATCAATGCTCAATAATATTAAGATATGTAAATGGTACATCTGTCTTTGAAAGATTAGTTGGTATGGTAAGGTGTAGCTCAAGTAAAGGCTCCGATTTTGTTGAGTTACTCTTAAAAGTTCTCAAAGATATGAATCTAGACCCAAAATGCTGTATAGGAAACGCAACCGACGGAGCTGCAAATATGCAAGGAGTTTATAATGGATTTTCCACGAAAATGAGCGAAGCAGCAGTTGAACAAGTACATGTATGGTGTTATGCACATGTATTAAATTTAGTTATTAGTGATATTACAAGCAAAATTGTCCAATCTATTTCTTTGTTTGGTATCTTGCAAGGATGTGCGGTATTTATACGTGAGTCATATAAACGTATGGACATATGGACAACCAAAAATTCCAAAAAAAAAATATGTACAATCGGCGAAACAAGATGGTGGTCCAAAGATGCAGCATTGACAAAGGTTTTTGGACAATTTAATGAACCCGAAAATGGATTGTATGTTGATCTCATAACTACATTAGATGAAATTGAAAACAATTTAGGTATAACTCCAGATGCTCGATTCAAGGCAAAAAATTTAAAAGAAGGTTTGTTAAAATATGAAACTATTTTAACTGCCCAAATGTACTTGCGAATTTTTAAAAAAACCACTCCTCTATCAAAATATTTACAAGGGCATGGAGTTAATATAATTGCAGCTTATCAAATGGTGAAACAAACTTTGAATGATTTACAAGACTGTGCCCGCCAATTTCAATGTATAAAAGAAGCAGCCAATACTTTTGTTGAATATACCAATAAAAAATTTGATGAAATGGAGAATAATACTTTAGAAATTCTAAATGAGTTACCTCATATTAGAGTAAGAAAAAAAAAAAGACAATTTACTGACTATGAATCAATAGATGATCCTATTACAGATCCATTACGGGCATTTGAAATCAATGTTTATAACCAAGTATTTGATACTGTTATTGAAAGTATTTCATCAAGATTTGAAAAACATGAACAACTATGTGCAGATTTTTCTTGTCTTGACCCAAACAATTTTCAACTAGATTTACCACTTCCAACAAATGCTTTAATAAAAATATATGAAAAAATCAGAAATTTTATTCCGGACATAACTTACGATGATCTTAGAAATGAATATGTTGACTTTACATCTAAATGGAGAGAATTGAAAAAAACCATTGCTTGTGTGTATGATGAACTAAATAATCAAGTTACTGATGATGGTGATGATTCAGAAAATGGTAATCTATATTTATTATTACATAAATATTAAAAAATAAAATCATCAATAATTATGTTATATTTTATTTTATGTTTTGTTCTAGGACTCAAGAGTGATGATGATATTATAGTATGTGTGCACAGTGCCAGTACCAAGTATTGTGTAACCTGCTGTTATGAAGTGTTGGTGAAATATAATTTATACGCAAATACATATCGTGGCCTCCACTTTGCATATAAATTTATGCTTACTTTATCCATTACACAAGTAGAATGTGAACGTACATTTTCGAAATTAAAATTTGTAAAAAATTATTTAAGAAATACAATAGGTCAGAATGTATTAGAGAGTATGTTGCTAATGAATGTAGAAAAAGATATTCTCAACAAAATTGATTCCGAAGACATCATAAATAAATTAGGAGCTAGAAGCCCAGTATTTGGTAGAATGTTACTATGTTAAAATGAAAAACTAAATTTGATTAAATAGTAAAAAATAGTTTTGTTATACATTGTTGGTTATGTGTTATGCTTTATTTTGATGTGGTACTTAATAAAATTGATATAGTAATGTACTTGCGAGCGAAGCGAGCGACTTTTTTTTTCATGTTTGGGGCCCCTTTGTAAAATTTCCCGGTAGGCCAAAATTGGCCTATCCGCCCATGTTCACAGTAAGTCAACGCGACGCGAGACGTGCGAATATCACGATTGTGTTACCAATTTAACTATGACAAGTCTAAATAATTTATCTACTAGTGATGTTAACCGTTTAAGTGATGGACGAAAACGGAAAATCAATATGACAGATTGGAAAAATGTAAAAAACAAAACTCTTCGAAATTGTGGGAAGGAATATACATCTCAGAGTAAAAAGCTTGTACCAGCTAAAACACCTCCAACCGTGGTTAGTAAAAATGTTATGAATATAGTAAAATAAACATAATGTTGAAAAATATTTTATACACATTTTTAAAAATTTTAGGATCAAGTTTGTGACCAGAGTTCATGTCCTTGGTAAGGTTGTGCAACAATGACTTTAGCAAGAAAACTTTTATTATTTGACGAATTTAATATGTTAACGTATGATGAACAATCAGCTTTTTTGTATAAGTGTATAAAAGTAAATGCTCCTGTGAGAAGACGACCAGGAAAAACAGATGCTACATCACGACGATTTTGTTTATTTAAATATTACATAGATGATTTACAGGTATGCAAAAATACTCTTTTAAATACGTTTGGTATTACAAGAAGACGTGTTATGACGCTACAAGATAAAATTAAATTAGGTATTATTACACCTAGGGATAACCGTGGAAAACATTTAAATAGACCTCATGCTATTGATGCCCCTGTAAGAGATTTAATTAGACAACACATAAATAGTTTACCTCGACAACCGTCTCATTACAGCCGTATCGCTACAGATAACCTGCAATGTTTGAGTTCAGACTTAAATTTGTGTAAGCTTTATCGATCGTTTAAAAATAAATATCCAGATATAAATGTCAGTAAACGTATCTATAGAAATATTTTTCGGTCATACTTTAAATTACGTTTCGGCTATCCGCGTTCAGATACATGCAAACAGTGTGATTTTTTTTATAATAAATTAGTGGCAGCTAATACAGAGGAAGAAAGAAAAAAAATAGAAATTGATAGTAAGTTGCATCATTCTAAAGCTGAGCAATCGTATGATGCCCTTAAAAAAGATACAGACATCGGTAAACTCAATAGCTCTATTGTAGTGCTTTGCGTTGATCTACAGCAAGTATTATTTTGCCCAACTCTTACACATTCTAACATGTTTTATCAGAGACAACTTTCCAACTATAATTTAGCAATTCATAACGTAGGTAATAATGAAGTTTCTATGCATTTGTGGTATGAATGTATCGCTAAAAGAGGCTCATTAGAAATAGCTTCGTGTATTTTAAATTATATCGAAAATAATTACGATATTCTTGGACATGGCGAAGAGAGGAAATTGATAATATGGTCTGATAGATGTGTCGGTCAAAATAATAACTGGCGAATATTAAACATGTATTCCTATCTAATATTTTGCAAGTATTTTACAGAAATTAATCAAAAATTTCTTTCGACTGGCCATAGTTTTTTACCATGTGACCGTGATTTCGCTTTAATTGAAAAATAAAAAAAAACAGCAAAAGTACTTGTACCGTCACAATGGAAATATATTATAGCTAATGCAAGATTAGAAAAACCATTTCGTATTATAGAAATGTCTCAAAATGATTTTAAAGATTTTTCTGCATTAGAGCAAGATATTACAAAAAAAAATCTAAAAATAACACAAGCAATGTGGTTGAAATTGACAGCTGATGCTCCTAAGCATGTAAATATTCGTGAAAGTCACAATACACTGATACCTTGGACATTACATAAAATACGTTAAAACAACTTTAAAGATAATACTTTATCTATTAAAGATTTACCACCAGCCTACGAATTCCCAGTGGCCTTAACAAAAGAAAAGAAAAAAGATCTTTTAGACATGTGCAAGTATATGCCTCAACAATACAGTGACTTCTATACATCATTACCTGGATAATATATTGTATTAATTTTAAAATATGTAAAAATAATTATGTGGTTTTTTAAAGGGTAATAAAATACCAGGATAATATTATATTGTATTAATTTTAAAATATGTAAAAAAAAATAATGTGATTTTTAGTAATAAAATAATATGTTTTATTAATATTAGTATTTATGATATAATTTTGTTTGAGTGAAATGAATACAGTACCTCAACAATACAGTGACTTCTATACATCATTACCCGGATAATATATTGTATTAATTTTAAAATATGTAAAAATAATTATGTGGTTTTTTAAAGGGTAATAAAATACCAGGATAATATTATATTGTATTAATTTTAAAATATGTAAAAAAAAATAATGTGATTTTTAGTAATAAAATAATATGTTTTATTAATATTAGTATTTATGATATAATTTTGTTTGAGTGAAATGAATACAGTACCTACACAAATAAAAAAAATAATAAAATATTGTAGAGTGTTATAGTCGAATATGGAAGAACGTTCTACGTGCGTTCCAAATAACATTAAAAAAAATGTATAATACAGTTTTCTTTTTTAGTTGTTCCTGAACATTTACGAATTGCTACATAGCACGTTATTCCCGCCCACCCTTCAATTACAGATTATGAACGAGGTTTGATGAACGAAGTAAGGATTTTTTTTCCTCAAACAAAGCTTCAGGAATGTTGGTTCCATTTTTGCCAGTCTGTTATCCGGTACTGCAAAATAAGAATGAACAGTCTATTCCAACTATTTCAGAGAAGTGTTGAGGCGGCCATAGTTTTACGCATGGTAATATGCTATTACGATGAAATAATTTTGTGATTATTAATTGCCTAAAATTAGTTTGATATTTTTACTTACTTGGTTAAATTCGATTTGGGTTTTTAATTTTTAGGTGTTAGCTCTACCCCATCTTCCTGCTGAGTCCCAAATTAATTGTAATTTCACAATGTTAGATGGTTTTCAAATAATCGTGGATTATGTCAACCAACAACCTGTAATTCGCGAACGCCTACAAGGATTTTTATTTGGCTACATACACGATTTTTGGTTTAGACAAATAACTGCTGAAAACATAAGTTTCTTTGGGTTAGAATTCTTAAAAATAACATAAACAGATTATTGTCATATAAATTATAATATATATTTTTGTAATATATCTTAGGTCAGAGGTTCGAACTAAAAATTATGTTGAGTCCTTTCATGCCACACTCAAGACCAGTGGCGTGGCGTGGGTATTAAAAAGATGTAAGCAGTGAAAATTTTTTTCAAAAGTGATTAGAATATAGGTACTACACCTAAATACCTAATTTATTATAAATTATGTATAAAAAAATGTTATCCTTTTAAAATTTTTAATATTTTTAAAAATATACTAGTTGTACAAATCAAATTAATAATGTTATAAATTCGAGTCTTCGAGAAAATAAAGAAATTGAAGTATAAATACTTCAAAAGTCTGTTAGACGAATGACAGTGACAGTGTCAGTGGCGCAACTACGGGGGTGCTAGGGGGTGCTTAAGCACCCCCAACTTTTATTTAAGCACCCCCAAATTCTTGTCTTTGTAATTTCAAGTATCTATAGTTTAAACGATAATTTAGGTAATTTTATATTTAAGATTTATTTTCCGTTATTTTTTCTTATCTTGCATAGATAACATAATTTATATTATTGTATATTTTTACTATCATTGTGAATAGTAGCCAGTAGGCAACGTAATATCGTCATGTTGAGATCACTGGATAAGTACTAACTTTCAACCATGGCTAAATATATAGGTATGATCGCAACTTTGTGATACGCAGGTGTCATGGCCGCCACTGGCAGTGATTTTTATCACTTCGATTTATCAGTTTAACCTATATATTTAGCCATGCTTTCAACAACCTGTGATAACTAATTATTTGTGGCTCGTCGTTACTCGTTATGATTTAAATTTAAAAGTTGTGAATTGTGATAATGTGATATTGTTGTTGTAAATTGAAATTGCAAGTGTTTTGTTTATTCATAATGTTTAGTATTTTAGTAATAGTAACAAAAAAACTACTATTCAAAGTAAGTCCGACATTCAGACAGTTTGAAACGATTGATGATCCAGGTCCAAGCACGTCAAGTAGTTTGTGTGAAAATGTATGTACCAGTACCCCTCAAATTTTGAATTTAGGACTAGGAGATATAGAAAGTGGACCATACCGCCCAATTTTGGCTGTAAGTACTTAGTACTATCTTAGTTTTATTTTATATAGTTATTAATTATTATGATTGCTTCGAAAAATGTTATAACTTATAGGTACCTATTATTTTGTCTATTTATGAACATACAATTAAATAATTAACCTTATTTTTTAGTATGCAATTAAAAACACTTATAGTTAAACTGCTAATGCTTGCATATGCTTAAATGCTTTTAGGTTATCCAAAAACAACGTTGGGAAGCAAAATAGATGTTTTAATAAACAATGGTTTGTTGAATGTGCATGGTTAGAATATAGCACTACATTAGATGCTGCTTTTTGTTATGTTTGCCGCATATTTGGTACGGGTGATGTTGAACCAGCATGGACTAAGACTGGACTTAGTAATTGGCAAAAAGTAAGTTTATATAATAAATAAATAATGATAATTATATAAATAGTAACTTAGGTATTTAAATTAATCATTAAACTTATACATTTTCAATACTATCCAGTTTGCTGATAAATTAAATAAGCACAAATTGTCCAAAATTCATTTAACAAATGTATCAAAGATGGAAGCTTTTAAATCCAGTAAAAAAACTGGAAGTGTTAAATCTCAAGTCATAAGTGCTCACAATGAAATAGTAATGAAAAATCGCAAATATATTTTAAATATTATCGAAATAGTTTTGTATCTTGCAAAACAAGGCGTTTCATTTCGTGGTCACCGTGAAGATTCTGATCCATGTAACCAACGGTACTAAATTTATACTACAATATAGTAACATATAAGTTATTAGTAATT